CGGGAGGGCCATGTAGTCTTTGAGGGCGCGCATGCCTTCCTCCTGAATGTCAATGTCAATGCAAGGAATAGGCAAGGATGGAAAACTAAGGTTAAATCAAGGGGAGGGTAGGGACAAGAGTCACGGGCGCCCACACGCATAAAGCATCGTGACCGACCGCCCTTTACCCCAACCCGTCGGTGGCTTGTGCCGTCCATGCGTACCACTTCGCACTCCGCGCTCTTGGACGCCTTGAACATGACTTCTTTTCCAACAATCTTACGGTCGTAGGTCAGGTTGGTGGCATCTGCCGAGGGCAGCTTCACCGCGGAAGGGGCAGACGGGGAGGAGGGAGGCGGGGAAGTAGTCGGAGAGGCGGTGGGCGTGGCCGTCTCCGATGTCCTTGAGGGGTTTATCCAATGACGGAGAAGCAGGGAGGAGGCCTGGACAGTGAGAAGAAAGGGGTACCGTATCAGTGGAGAAGCCCGAAGTGGGAGCGTCTCAAGCACCCGAAGGGTAGTAGCCTGCCCTGACGCGTACCATTCTTCTGCTCAACGAATGCTCTGGAACTGTGTGACGGGACGTTTTCAGCTGCGCTGGTGCAGTGTAAGGGATGCATGGGAAGATTTGGAAGGCCTCGGAGGGCGCAGGGGCGCAAAATGCGACGAAGATGAGCAGAGAGCAGCAGGAACGATCTAACCGAGCCTTCTGGCGGCCTCGGCGTTGGGAGGAATATTTTTGTGTCGCATGTGCCGTGCAAGCGCTCCAGGTGGTGCTGTGCTGCATGTTTAATATTGTGTGTCCTGAATGGTACTCAAGGGGGAGCAAGTGGGACCCAAAATCCACTCAAGCGGGTCAAAAAGCCGACTTGCAGGAATACGAGTCCTGTGGAAAGAACAGTCTACGTGACCAAGCCCGATCAAGCCCTGCTGTACGATCGTCGAGTCAAAATATGAGTGAGCAAGCCTGGCATGAAAGACAACTTCGACAGGTGACATCCGTGACCAGAAAGACAAAGTTGCAGCCCTTGCGGTGGTTTGTTTAGGCTCTGGACCAAAAAGCATTCGGGTTCAAGCATCAGCGGGAGTCGCTGCCGGGTATCTTTTCTGGCAAGCCGACGCGTGCTCAGGCTACATACCCTAGTTATTGATGCCTTGACCTTCCAAGCCAACAGCCTTTTGCTTTCATTTTAAAATGAAACTTGTGCTTCGGTGTCCTTCGATGGGCTCAAATCGTCCTATTCAACAGAGGACACCAGTACGTGGTGTTCGCTATCTACATCCACACGTGTACGGAACAGCGTGCCCCCGATCATTCCATCCAACCCTCCGAGGCCATCATTTCTTGGATCTTTCTGTCTATCTTAGCTAAAACAAGTTTAAAGAAATCTGCATCTGTCTGCAATCAAAGTTTGCTCGGTATGTATTTTGTCAAAAGTTTCACCTACCCACGTGTCTTTCCTGTCCCCCGTACGGACCGCCCGCTTCTATCCATAACAGCATCCCTCGCGCATTACTTTTCAGACCGTTTTCAATATAAAATTCATACCATAGATTTCATCACGCGCGTGCCGCCGTAGCACCATCCCTCCTCAAGGAGTTGTCTCCCAGGCGCTGCGAAGGGCGAGGCCCTTGTCTCCATCCCGCACCTCGTGTGCGCCTCCCCGATCTCAACTGGGCATTTGCGCGTCAGTATTCAAGTTAATAAACAAAAAGATTAGCTTTTACATGAAGCAGACTCCAACGACTTTAGTCGTCACGTCATACGAGGGATAATCTGCTTGCCCCTCCGAGGTCATGGTGTTTTCTCCCTCGACGACATGCAACACTCCTTTGAGGTGCCTTTTCTATTAGTTCGACCGGCACTTCCTTATATCAACAGGATAAAAAAATTAAAATTGCCAACAGAGCACACACTCTAGAAGAAATACTGGTCGAGTAAGGGCGCCACACCGACAACGAGGACCACCAACATCACGAGTTGCTGCACAGCCTCGACCGCGGCATCCATTCCTTTTTCCACAAAGCCGTTCCATCCTCGAATTAATGTATAGATGGTGAAAACTATT